TCAAAATAGGATGAAATACTTAATGTGCAGAAATTAATGGTAACATACTGATAGCACAAAATTGAGTCAAGACATCTCCCCAAAATTCATGACAGAGATCTCCAGATTTATTAAATGGGTTAGCAATGTCAAGTCCTGAGAATGAAGACTTAAAGAAATCAAGCTAAAAACGCTGATACCTACAAACAGGTGTGCTAGAAAAGCTAGGCAAAGTCTCACAGTGGTGTTGGTTTAGCTGACAGGCCTGCATCATACTGCTGCTTAGCTGTTCTGAGCTTCTAAGAGGAAATTCTAAGGGGAAAAGGTAGCAAAGAGGATAAGGAGAATTAATTTGAATTGCACATTTTATCTTTTTGCTTAGAAAACCAATGCTCAAATAATGTCTATGCTTAAAAGATAAAGGTAAAGCAATAGAGAAGAGCCAAAATCCATTAGTACAATGAGTACTTCCAAATTTAGTAGTAACAAGCAGAGCCCGTTCATACAGAGGTTAGCTAAATAGTTATTTTAAGGACTCGCTGTCCTTAGTGGAAAATTAATAGAGCAAGTGTCAAAAGCCTTTCATGATTTTAAAAATTAGAACAGTGTCTCCACTGGGTATCTGTCCTGCATAGAGAGATTTCACCTACTGAAATGTGCAGTGTAAAGTTTATTCAGCTCCTAGAACTTAGCAAAGCTGTCCTGAAATTTTAATATCTACTTGTTTCAATCAAACACAGTATTTGATAAGTATAGTGGATACTTGGAGCTACACAGTTCCTTTGCCTAAGTCATCTATGTCAATCACAGAAGTGGAAAACATAGGATTTGGTCACTTAGAAACAGGATCACAGCACACTTCAAAAATGTGATCCTTCTGGAGGGAAGGACAGGGGGGATAGGAAGATATTAAAGTCGTAGAAGAAAACACCAAGGAGAAAGAATAAACTGTGAACATTTGCTAGATTTGAATTTAAAAGGCAAAAAGGCAAACCTGAAATTCTGCACTACATCACACGCCGAGCTTTGGGAATCATAGGTGCATTTAAAGATAGAACTGAGTTCAGAGAATCCATGGTTCAGATAATCAGTTGATGCTTGCTTCTACATGTGTCATCTAACTTTCACAAGAAGCTAAACACAGTTGTCAGTCAATCCCCTGAACAGCAGTGACAGTTCTCACTTGCTATTCAGCCCAGCACACAAATTTATTTTTGGACGGCAGCTACCATCAACTCCCACTTGAGTTGCAAACTAACAGTGCCACCTATTGCACATACGCCCTGCTGCAGACATAGGATTTGGCTCCATGTAGGGCTTGCTTGGTGTTAGTACAGGTACAGTGCTGTGCAGACCAAGTGCTTTGCTTCCAAAGCTGGCATAGGCTCTGAAGTAGAGAGTCAATCATTGCCCCAAAGTGAATCTAGTAAAGTTTGCTCACTCCAGTTTTAATCAGTTTCAATAGTCTTGCATAGGTTCTGGAAGAAACCATTCAGTCCCTTTACACTGCTCCCTCCAGCATGTTGTCTACTGCCAGGCTCATCTAGTTAGAGCATCTTCCCCTTACTTCATGCAGAGAAATTCACTGTACGCTCTTGCCCATTACTGCCATGCACCTTGCTTTTCCAAAAATTTAATAAAAGATTTGAAGGTAAGGGAAATAAAGGAATGTTGAGCTCTTCCAGCATCATCTTCTGCAGGACAGAATGGCTTTGTCCATCACTGTGATGACTAAAGAAGGGAAAGAGCCCTTTCCTGGGCTGCAGCAGACTAGGAATGTTCCACTGTCTCTAGAGCTGGCCAGTACAATATGGCTGCCCCTGGGCACATGTCACTTATTGGCTACTCTGTCCCATTAGGTACCTCCCACAGCCCTGGAACTGGAATTCATCACTACTGTTTCGGAGTCTGCCTTGCCTCTCCTAATGGCCACAGTCAGCTCTGCACTGTTTCCAGTCTTATAAGAAATTGAAACTACTCAGTTAACTACAAAGCTCAACTTGATGCTAGATTCATCAGATTCATCATAGAGGTTTCTTAATTATTTCTTACTTGTGACGGATAAGCATAACACTGTGCAAAATGACTAGACATGATCAGACAGCATTCAATGGGGTCTTGGTGTTGAAAGCCAAATCCAAAAATTGCCCCAAACCAAGTTCTCTCCTCTATGTACACAGTCAGTGACTTTCTTGAGTACTTTGTCTTCTTACAATCTTTTACCAGTTACAGTCTCTTGCTTGCTAATAATTCAATTACTCTACTCAGACAGTAAACTTATTCTATCAGTGTTCATAAGCAAGACAACTATTTAGTTGATGCTGCATATTTTTAAGTGCTATACCATGATTGCTTTTGCTCTACAGTTTCATCCCACAATATCACAGGTGGCTTGCATGGACCTCATTTCTTCAAGGGACTATGGATACCCCTGTCTATTATCAAGCTTCGCTGTCATATTGCCTATTATATCATCTACAAAACTTGAACAACAATTTTTGAAGCCTCCTCTGAGCACAACATTAGTTCTTCCAGTCCACTGCAGAATGCCACAGCCTTAGATCCAGGCAGTTGTTTTTTTTTCAGGTCTGGGCTCCTATATATATGTATATGACGAAGGTAGAGGAAAGGAGAAGAAAGTCTGTTCTCCTATGACATTACTAACATGAAAATTGCATCCACTTTCTTACATTAAGAAGTTAATTTTCAGTCAAATGTACTGGAATTGTATTTTGCATCTTAAGCTTCTCTAGCAGAATTAAAGTTATATTGAATCTTACTCTTGCCCACTCTTATCTCTCAGCCATGACAGCAGTCAGGATTAACTGGAGAGTAAACTGAAATTATTTATTAAAAGTTTGATCCAATATCTTATTTTTACAAGTCAATACTTGCCAATGTTCTTTACAACAGGTTCCAAGTTATTTTCCAAACTCATACAAACTTTGACTAAAGCGGAATATAATGAGCATAAGTAATGTTACAACAGTATGCAACTTTGCCCTGATACTGTGACTTTACAGGTAAAAATAGCTGATCTCTATAACTGCAAGTGCTAATGTTGAGTCTGTCTCTTGTTCCAATGCTATGGAAAAAGCCCCTTTCTCTTTTCCTCTACTTGAATCCATACATATTTGTCACTCAGTTTTTGATCATCAACAGTGTTTCATTATAAGCCCTGATCAGACATAAGGACAAGACTTTAAGTTTGATGTTCATTACTGAACTTCAAATTTTATTTTTGTGCATTAGTTCAGCAATAACCAAAATATAGTTTAGATATTCTAATAGCAATCTAATTCAGCTGTAATGTTGGTGGTAAAAGTCTGTTTTACAAGAAAGGGACTTTTCAGGCATCACAAGTATTTGGATATTCATGTTCAAATGCCAATGCTATTCACAGCTGCGCTTCAAACCCACTTAGGTTGGACTACCCAATTTAATTCAAAGACAACGTAAACAGTAAAACTGTTTTAAACTGTTTTAAAGTAAATGTCAAGACCTCTGGCTGACAATTAACCTCCAACAGTAATCTGAATTAATTATAAAATTGTTTGTATTTAGCAGCTAAAATAATTTGCCATCAATGATATTACAGAAAAATTATTTTTTATTGCCTTTGTAGTGGCGGATAATTCCTGACTAACATAAATGAGAGAATCAAGGGCTGTAGTGCACTGCAAAAGGGATCTGGGGAGACCAATAGCTACTGAGGAGCAGGAAACCAGAATACCATTTCTGTTTTCCTCTTTCCCAGGAGAAGAGCAGTAACTATACATTAGCTACCCTGCTCTTGTTACTACTGAATTTAAAGAATAACAACAAAACAGGCTGGATGGGCTCATGATGAAACTGTTCAGAACTAAAGAGCATCACATGCATTCCTTGGCATCTTAAAATAATCTCCCAGGGGAACAGTCCAGTTCTTCTTTGAAACTGAAGACTGCATGAATGCCAAATAAAGTTTTCATGTACTGACTAATCCACTATCCACCATTTTGCCAGCTTGCTTCCAGTTCTAATGCCCTCTGTCTTTTCTTTGGCCCGACTAAACCACTCATTGTCCTTTGGAGTTGCTACATACGTAACAATAGCTTACACGTACGTAACAATAGGTTTCACTTGTGGAGTTTCCCCCATAGAAGACATTGTGCAGTGGCCCTTCTGCTTTTAACATGCACATACAGCCTTGTCCCCAGTACTTTCAACATGAGCTTTCTATGCATTTAGATCTAATTCTGTGTATCTGAAAAAATAATCTGTGTGATGCATAAGAGACATTGGAAGGTGTACTTCCTGGCTGTTAATAACAGACATTGAATCAAGCCTCTCCTATCCCTAGGTAAGACATTTTTGCACTAGAACTGCAGCTGTAGTGGCTTAAGGAGTTAAAAATTCCACATTATATCATAAAAACATACAGCATTAAATAGTCCTACTGTTCAGAAGGAATAGATCTGCTATGACTCATGAGCTGGCAGAAAATTTATCAGAAAGTTAATTTTTCAAGGGAAAGCCAGACCTTTAAAATCTTTCATAGACTTTTTTTTGACAGAAATGTCAGTTTCTGAATAAACAGTGGATGCCTGAAACATGGTAAATAGTAGACTAAAATGAATACGCAAGAGGAAATAACCACTCAGATTCAAATATATGAAAGACCAGAGAGAAGTGATTTTGAAGCTCTTTGATGACAATTCACAGTTGAAGTGTATCATTTAGGGATTAAATGCTTCTACCAAACCTCAACCTTGCTTGTGAAGATAATCCTAGTTTGCTTATTGTCCAAGCACTGATTTAAATCACTATACTGGCTATCACATTTTCTATGAAGTTATTTTTTAAACTTTAAAAAAATTAATCATCTCTACACCAACAAAAAACATTAAGAAACCTGCTCACACACAAGCTCCACACAGTTTCATATTAACCAGAATCTTTCTTTTTCTTTTTCTCTTTCTCTTTCTTTTTTTTTCTTTTTCTTTTTTTTTTTGGTGTGTGTGTGTGTATAGTCATATAAACAAAAGCAGGAATAAAGAAGACAGAATATCTTTCATTCTTAAAAAAATACTCTTCTGAACTTTGAATATCATCTTGCCTACAGTATTCATCCAAAATTCAGGAGTCTGATGGAAATTCATCGTTTCCACTGGTTTCAATCAGCTCTGAACTGGATCTTGAGTACACTTCAAAGAAAAGAAAACTGAAACTATTTTCAGTATTTTGCAGTTCAGGCAGAAGGCAGTAAGCAAAATGTTAAGTGTGTTAATCTGATTCTATTTTGATTATCTATATTTGGGGCTTGCGGCAAAGTGCATGAAACAGTTTCATGGTTCAAATACTTGATTTAGATATAGAAAATCTAATTGTCTGAGCCCAGAGTTGCATTCACCATCTAAGACTGTTACTTGGGGGGGGAGGAGGGGAACCGACTAGTTTAGCTGGCTGAATCCAAGGTCAGTTCTTTAACTGATAAGAGCTCCTGTAAAGAAAGCCCTTGGTAATTGATTTTAAACTGAGGCTTTGCTGCCAGCCCTTGCCTCTGTGCTAACACAGTTGCACATCTGCATCCAGGCTCACATCTCTGTGACTTGGGCACTGCCTGGGCTTCTTGGCTCAGCCTCACATTTGGCTCATCCCTGCTGATGATCACTGGTCTCTAACTTCTCAAGGTCACACCTTCTGCCTGCATTACTCTCATGCTAAACTCCTGGCTTCTTTCTTGCAGAGCAGGTAGCCCATGCTGTTGAGTCTTGCCAGAGAATTTATTCACTTCAGTTTGACAATGCTTAGTACCTTGGTATTCCCATTTGTATGGGATAAATAATATGTGCTTTGAGCACATAAATTAATAGAAGTTAGAAGAGTATCTCCAAAGAACATGTGATCTATTAAGCAACTATTTTTTCTGCAGGAAAGCATATGTCAGGACAGATTTTCATTGCTGACTTTCATTTCTCTTCAAATGTACAAAGGCAATACCCCTCCCCTTTCCGCCCCTTGTTCATTTCTAAGTACCTCTTGAATGTGTCATACAGGAACTTGTGTACATCAGCAAAATGAGTAGAACTGATATCAGTAAATCTGCAAGGAAACAGATCAAAAGGGAAAGATTAGCATTTTCAGCATGCCTCTCATTACAACATCTGCATACAGCGTTTTAGTAGAGCAAATACTTTTCCTTCAGTCAGTTTGTTTTGACTATCAGTCCCACATTGCTCACGCAAGAACAAAAACTAAGAAAACTTATGACTATTTGTCTTCATTTAATAACAATGGAAATCAGATAGCAAGGAATGAAAGGGGATGAACTGTGCTATCTCTTTCCAGGAGAGAAGCAGCAGGAACTCCTTACTTTTTACTAAGTATTCTTTGATATTTTTCAGAAAATAAAGGGCTGAGTATATTGTTATTGAGCAAATGTATTTTTCTAAAAAGTGTGCAGTTTTTACAGGAAGTTGATGTATTTCTGGACACTTCAGGTATTTGTATGCTAATGAAAAACAGAATACATAGGTTTCTCAGGATTTAAATGTAGCCTCTCTGTACTGAGGCTTTTTCAGTGAATGTCTCATTAAGGTATTTTGAGATTGATCAGAGTTAAATTAGGATGCTGCCCACAGATGATCACACTACTTGCTTAAAGAATATATTGTGCATCTACTTTGAAAATGCTTAGTGACTTTATCATTGCTAGTTAACTAAACTAACTCTTAAACAAATATTATATTTAAGTACAATGGGAGCGAAACCTTCCAGAGTTCATCATTTTTCTACTATGCATTTTTACAAAGAGCTTTTAATCTGTGATTCTCAGACCATTTGCAGCTACAGATACACCTGGGGGGAAAGGGGAGGAGATGGTGCAAATTGCACTGAGTGGCAGAAAAAGGTCTTGAACCCATTCTTCTCATACCAAAGGGACTTGTCCCTTCCACACTTGAGGCAATGCAGGCTCAAAGAAAGAGTTTGTCCAACACATCTCACAGTGGAAAAGGGTTAAATTTATCAGTTCTCTTTTTTTTTAGAATATGTTCTATTGTTTTAAAATAGGTTCTATTGTATGATCTGTCACTCAAATCTGACTAAATTATATAGTGATGTTCAGATATTTTTAGTAACATTTATTTTACACCTGGAACATATCTCACAAGTAGTCTGCAGATGTTTTTCAGCTCAGATCCTACTGCATGAGCACCCAACCTTTTGGCTTGCCTACGCCATGCTGGGTGAAGTGGAGCTGTCTAGGGCTTCAGCTACAAAGGTTGCTCTGAAAGTAATGCTTCCTAATTATTTCCATGGAGACTTCAATCAATACAAAGAGCACAGTAATACATTTAATAGAGCAAATTCTCAGCTACAAAACACTATTTTTCACCGTTAGGTATGCATTTTCACCAGTGATGGATGAAAGCCTGCAGGCTGCACTCTAAACAAACTGCACTAGCAGAGGTGACTGCCATCACTATTGCCACTGTTGAAATACATAACCCACTGCACACTCTGAGCACACTGTGCTCACATCCACCGTTTGGTGTTCATAAACATTCAGCAAGCTTTGACAAACGTGAGTGCCATTTTTTACACATGGAAGAATTCAATTCCACACCTTTGCTCCATACGCCCTTCTATGCCAGATGCCACTGTGTTGGACTGCCCCTCACTGTCATCTGTCATACAAGAACAAAATGGAATGGAACATTGGTGGGAAGATTTACCCTCTATGGCCATCCTTCAAACATCTGCCGCTAACATTGTGGGCCAACAAAATAAAATAGGAGGTGTTACTTTTGGAGAGGCCCTCATAAAGTATACAAGATAGTTAATATATTTAAGTAACAAAACTTACTTTTTAATATTTTTTATTAAAACAAATTTAAACAGAGCAACAAAAACATAAAACCAATGGGATATTTAACTATTTTTGCAACACTAATACTATTGCAGTGGCTGCAATTCTTGATGAGGTCTCAGGTGTTCCACTGAGATTTTTGATAGGATTTTGCTCTTCCTGTGCTTTTTCCCTGAAGACAGCTGCTCACAAATGTACATACTGCTAGGAAGTAATGACATGAATAAGGTGCTACTGCGAAGTGAGAGATATTTCTCTGTGGTTAGACAGGACTTATAAAGATCTGGTAAAAAGACATGGTCAAATTTTTGATTGCAACTCTATACATTCCATTTGAAATTTCACAAGTGATGTATTTATGTTGACTGAAAATGGAGTCGCAAATAAACTGAAAAACTGATGATTTTTTTTTGCAATCTTGAAATCAGTTCTCAGATTCCTTCATCAGAATGGAAAGCACAGGTGCACATTTTTTGCTGTTCACAGGATTGTGTTCAGGCAATATAACAAAATGCCTGAAATTATTTGCCATAACTTGAGTTAGTATTCAAAGTGCCCTCCCAGTGCCCTGGTTTCAGCTCAGATAGGGTTCACAGCACATCACTGCTTGGCTACCAGGCTGGGCCACTCTGCGAGTCAGAGCCACTGCATGATGGGACTGGGCAGGGGGCTGCCACAGTGCAAGCTGTGCCAGGCTGCATATGGCCCTTGGGTTATGGGTTGAGCATGCCTGCCCTACTGCATTCCTCAGTAGTATTTTGGCTCTTCTTGCCCTTTTTGTCCTTGAATAACATTAAATAGTCAAGTGTGATTTCCAAAGAAATGGCAAAAAGAAAAATCCAAGTTCTCACACAAAAACGTTTCTAATGCTCAGCCTTTTTAGACCTGGCAAAGAGCCTAATTTCCATTGCCTTTTAATAAGATGCAGGATGCAAAGTGCTCAATATTCAGTGAGCTTTTCAGAAACTGTTCACCCATAAGAGCTTCCTGGTTGTTCACCCTTTCTTAGGACAGAGAATGGGAGTGGAAGTTGAAGGTCTGCCTATTACTGCTACCTTTCTGCTTCTGGCAAGGGAAAAGAAATAGATTTACTTCATAAAATTCTTCCATGCACATTGTGCAAGGAGCTGGTGGCGGAGAGTGAAGGGGCATTTTCAATCCTTACAAGAATGTATGATAATCCAGGTCTCAATCCTTCACAACGGCTTGCACAGTTTTAAAGTTGCTTTTATTTGCATTTTTTTTTTCTTTCCCTCAATTTATTGTAATGAAGTATTGCACTAAGAAGCAATGTTTTGACAAGAAAATCAAAGATAACACTACGAAACTGCTCTTTATAAAGTTATCTGCAAAATCTAAATTCATTTTACAAGGAAACATGAGTTTTTGCCTGGTAATTAACTCAGATGATTCCAGAAAGAAGACTCATTTTTCATGTGGCATAATGACAGGTATTGTTTCCCATTAAAAAGTTGAAAAAGCATGTGAGTGTTCTGCTAGATCTCAGCCAGCATGGATTGTTTAATACTAAGGCCTCCAAGAAGTAATTTTATTTCCTATCTTTATGTTCAGTTGTATTTTCTCCAGGGCAGAGAAAATAAATAGGGTGTCAGAAGCTGAGAGTCTCAAGATCTAGACATAGCCCATTTTGCCATATTCAATTTATCTTCCTTGTTTTCAAAATAAGAGAAAATGTTGCTAAAGATGCAAGCAGATAATTTGTATAGTGTATTATTAGCTTTACTTTTAATTGGGAGAGTCATTTATAATGTGAACAAAGACAGAAGGTGAAACAACTTCATTTCTTCTGTAGAGGCAACAGAAGACTTTTCTAATCATACAGTGGAGTAGCAGCCATTAAGAATCCAGTAATGTGATCACATGTCCCAAGAAAATAGCAAGTTATTTATACGCTATTTAATTTTAACCAGGATTTCTTACATCCGTTTTTATAACTGAAGTTAATAAAGTCTAACTGCAATGTAAGACTAACATGGAACTGTCCCCTATAGCCTTCAGCCTTGCAGAGTTGTGTGTATGTGCAGAGGTAGAATAATGGACACAAAAAGGCATTCTGGGCAACTTACCCTTGGGAGCCTGCCGAACTCCAAAACCATCCTATGGGTTGCAGTGCTGCTCAGAACTGACATAGTTTAGCATGCTGCCTCCACCCTGGATACTTAACATCACACTGAAATATACTGAGTGCAGGGGGCCTTCACAAGCAGTCTTCCAGGCCTACAGGTAAGCACAAAAATTGAACTTTCAGGAGTTTGTGATTGTTTATTCTCAAAGCACTTTATACCTCTGTATGTCTCTTATTATAAGCTCAGGAAATGCATAATTAGTTGTCTAGTACCTATTCCTTAGAAATGATTGATTTGGTAACTATACACTTTAAAATGCTACAGATAAATGAAATATGCTAGAGCAGTTTGGCCACATCAGAATATAAAATGACAAAAAATACAAACAAACAGAAATTAAGGGAAAATTAAAGAGTCTCTAGCAATATGGATATTTTGAAACAGATTTGTGAACAAGCATTCATGACTGAGCAAGAAAGAGCCAGTCATTCTTCTTGCTGATATAGACATGTCCCAAGTGCATCTTGAAAGATAGCTGAACATCTGAGTAAACCACGGTGGAGATGACATCCAGGGGAAGTAGAAGTAGTCAGAACTACAGTTTTGCTAAAGAGAAAGCACGTACACCACTCATGTATAAATCCACACCACACAAGAAGGTTTAGTCAAGATCAAAATAGCCATTTCACCTTTTGTGAAACAGAATATTTTTCACCCTGTCTTACAGCAACAGAAGAGTTGCCTTGCTGCTGAGAAATTTCAGGGGCAGTTACTTCCCTGGCATCATGAAAAAAATTGATAAAATCTTCAAAGTCTCAGAAAATACAACAAAGTTGCTCTTAACATTGCAGCTCTGAGCAGCAAGAGAGGGCAGCAGAACTGGCAAGAAAACTAAGCTCAGCTTGGAAGCTGAATGTTATTACCAAGATACCAATATCCTAAGAGAAGCAAAATCTACTTAGCAGGAGGTGCTATCTTAATTTTGGTATCATATAATCCACCGTTGACAAACTGTTAACTGACTGAGCACAGCAGCAAGTGCTTCAGCAAGTGCTGAAAAGACATGGGTTGTCTAACTGGAATCATTCCTGATCTGTCATCACATTTTCACAGGATAAGTACACAACTGGTTTATCACAGAAAAGGAAATCACACCTGCCCCAAGCTGTCATTAGCATACTACAATGCCAAGTAGCTAGGAGAGAGGTAGATTTGAGCAGAATTTGCATCAACAGTAGGCATTTGCTTTCCCTTTATAAATCAACAGCTCATGTTCCACTACTGCCAGTGGACTAACATTGTAAGGAATCATAAAAAGGACAGGGAAGCAAATTATTGTTCTCTGCTTCTTATAGTACTAAGAGGCAACCCACTGGTTATGAAGCCACAGGTCTTAAATAAATAAACAATTTTTGCAATCTGAAACATGACCAAATTTTGGAAGCTACTGCTAAAGGATCTAGGAGCTATGAACATGTTCGAAGAGGAGATAAACAAATACACAGAAGTCCATTACTGATCATTAAAAAAAAAAAAAAAAAAAGCTTCTCTTCCAGAAATGTTTTGAAGTATTAGTACCAGGTATTTCCAAGATTGAGAAGATTGTATACATACTCTGAGCTTGTACTCTTTCCCTAAGAATTTGTTGCTGTTCAGAAGCCTTGGTTTGGTAGAAATACGTCTAACCAAGCCCTGCAATTTTAATATTTAGGATGACTTTAGTCCCTCAGGCTTAGTTAGATGAGAAAGAGGAGCCAGGTTTCAGAAACAACAAGCAGGAAGCTAAGGGAAATTCCATAAATTCACTTAATCTTAATTTTCTTTTTCCTTTAAACTCCACAGATTCAGGATGATTTTGCACACTATTTCCTATGACTTACAATTTTTAGGTAAGTAGAGCATTTCTCACTGGGGTATTCTGATATGGATTTTTAAAGGTATTCTACCTGTGCAAATTTTTAGTGATGCAGTACCAGTAGGAATGAAGGGGAGATATTGGAAAAAAAAAATCTTAGTATAGTTTTAATATCATGCACTTTGTCAAATAAATCTGAACACAAAAGTAGAATAGCTTGCCCAAAATGCAAGTGAGGTTAAAACCCAACTCCTGCATGTCATAAAAATCTTTCATGAAAACAAACAAAGAAAGTCTGCAAAAATCTTATTATCAAATAACAATAAAAACAATTGTGCTTATGTGTAAAATGGGTATTTGGGAGATTAAGACTATGTTCTGATAAGAACATAGAAATGAACATGCGAAATGGTGACTGAGTTGTTAAAGCAATTCAACTTGGCTCAACTGAGCTTAGTGGCCTTGGGCTGTGTAAGTTATTCTCTGTCTGTATCAGCTTCACTAACCATACTGAGATATTAAGGATTTAAAAAAACAAACAAACAAACAAACAAAAACATATGTAGGATATATACAAAGCATTATGGATGAGTGCTTACACAGACCTCTTCACAAGCCTCTTAAAACAAGAAGCTGCGGAAGAGACTGATTTGACACCTTTATCTCCATTAATACTCGGCTCCTCACAATGTACTCTCACCTTGATGTCCTGAGAAACAGGCAATTGAACGGAGACTGCAAAACAGCTCAAAAATAGCAAGAATTGCTTCAAACTGCTACAAAACAGCTCAATACGTGCTGTAAAATGTGCTGGCAAAGGTACACATGTTTTTTCTAAATCAGAGATGAGGGAAACTTCGATCCAAAAAGACATTTTACTGGGCAGTTATCCTTATGAAGTGGGATACATACTCCATATGTACATATGATACATACTCCACTGTTTTCTCATGCCCCAGAAAGCTCAGAATTCCAACATTTCTAACTTTTTTTTCTCCTTCCCAGATTTTATTTTAACAAACAGCCATTCCATTTCTTCAGAATGAAAGTAAGTTGACAGTTAAAGCTGTGAAATCAGCATGGAAACGTTATTAAGCACGCCAGATATGCTATGCTACCCTGCAGAAAAATACAGTGATTCTAATTAGAATCCAGCCATAAGAAGCTGGATTAATCCGTTCAGTGAGTGCTGAAACTGAAACTTTCAAAAGCTTTAACTTAATCTGGCCTAGGTATAGCAGTACATATACATTCCTTATCTGATTTCTCCAAGGTGCTGCTTGCCAGTCATAAAGACTTGATACTTTGTAAACGAGTATTAAATCAGAACATTATACACTCTGGTCAAGCATGCAAGGCATTCGAAAAGCTCTGGCTATAGACCACTCTCTTAACAAACTGAGAGTAGCTTCCATTCCTCTTCAGGCTGAAAGTAAGTAGGTTCTTCCAGAAGATTACCTTAGCAGGCAGTAATCTGTTTCTCTAAACAGCCTGTTATGAAAAAGAGAAGCAAATCCTGCTTCTGTAATCCTGTTGGTTTCATTGGCAGACAGGAGTTTGTGACAAGCATATATCCTGTTGTAACAAAACATCATGCTGCATGTACCATCTGAGAAGTACATTTTTCTTTCCTCGCTTAGGCCAATTAAAGATTAAAATATTTTAATGAAGAAAATATTGGATAGCCCATTTCCAGAAATTTTCAGAGAAAGACTACACAGTTTTCACTGTTAATAAAATTCCAGAAGAATCTAACCTTAATTTTTAAGAATAGTACTGATGTTTGCCCTCAGCACTTTCATTCCAGCCCTGGTCTATATGTTTTCCCCCTTCAAGTATCAGGGAGCAGCAAAAGCAGGGTTGGCCCATAAGTAAAAAGCCAAACCAGGACTGCAGGGTGATTCCAGAGCAGACCAGTCCTACTAATCCGGACATTTTTCTTCAGAATCTGAACAGAGCAGGCAGTACAAGGTGCAGGTAACAAAATCCATCAACAGTCCCAGGCACAGTAAGGTAATGAACAAGGTACCATAGCCATCCAGACAGAAAATAATGCTGTTTTATATGCATCAAGTACACCTGTAAGACACAGCTGAAGACCAACAATCCTACAACAAAAGTCAAACCAGAGCACACTGTCCTGCTCAATGTATAAACAGGGCCCACTTGCCAGTGGAAAGAAACATCATCATATCATGGCATAGATTGGCTCAGACTGGAAGGGACCATAAACACCATCCAGTTCAAAACCCCCTGCCATGGGCAGGGTTGCCACCCAGTGAATCAGGCTGTCCAGAATCCCATCCACCTGAACACCTCAGGATGGGGCATCCACAACTGTTCTGGGCAACCTATTCCAGCACCTCACCACCCTCTAAGTAAAAAATGTCCTACTAACGTCTAACCTCTTTTAGTTTAAAATCATTCCCCCCTGTCCTATCAATGTCTGCCCATGTAAAAACTGGTCTCCCTCCTGATAATAAGCTCCCTTCAAGTACTGGGAGGCCACAGTGATGTCTCCCCGGACACTTCCCCAGGCTGAGCAAGTCCAGCTCCAGCTCCTTCAGCCTTTCTTTGTAGGATAGGTGCTCCAGCCCTCTGATCTCTTTGTGGCCCTCCACTGAACCTGCTCTAACAGCTCCACATCTTCCTTGTGCTGGGGGCCGCAGACTTGGGGATGGTACTCCAGACAGGGCTTCACAAGGACACAATAGGAGAAGATAATCCCTTCCCTCTTCCTGCTTGCCACTCCTCTTTTGACGAAGCCTTTCTGGGTTGCAAGTATGTGCTGCTGGCTCATGTTCAGCTTTTTGTCTACTAAAACCTCTGAGTCCTTCTCAGCAGGGCTGACTCAGTAAGGTCTTGTCCCAGTCTGTACACATACGTAAGTATGAAGTGGAGGTCCTAGAAGGAGCTGATCAGAGCCACTAAAGCACAGTTCTTTAATTGTAATTGCTCACTGAGAGCAGCCCTGTTGAGAAGCATAAAGCCAAAGAAGAAAGTAATTTTCTCATTATTATGGTCAAGTTTCTGTCAGGGTTACTGGTATAAATGTCTTCTTATCCGCTTAATATAACTGTTTTGAGATACCTTTGGTTTTGGCTTCAATTGTCCTCAGGTTTAAAGTCCTGGTTATTTTCTTACATCTCTACATTTCTGAGTGAGATTGCAGCAAAATGCCTGCCTGTCAGGTTTTAGATATAAATCAAGAAGTTGTATTAGGAGGCCATCATTATCTTACACTTTCCCTCTTCAACTTTTCATTTCTTCATGGAATAGTTCACAGAAAATAATAG